TTTTTGCCGTTACTACTATCTCGATTTCACTATAATTAAGTAGTATACAGTTCTTTTTTACTTTTGAAGCTTAAGTTACTAGCTAATATCTTGTTTTTACGGCTGCTTTCTTTATTTGGATATTTAATTTCAGTTTCTTATGGAGAATGCATGATTAACTGATTACCGAATTGTTGCTCACTGTCCCCAGTGAAAGCAGTCGAAAGTGCTTAATGTACAAGGTTTGTTACTATTATTCCGGTTTTTTGATTTTTATGTCTCAAGCGTCTATTGTTCGAGAAGTAGGGGAGCCCTATCTCACCGTTTTATGATCTGCTACCAGTAGAGGAACGAATGGGGTTATAAATTTTAGAGGTCACTTTTGTTACTGCAGTGGGAAACATTTAATGCACCTGGAATTGGCGAATAAAACGAAGAAAATCTTAAGCGAAATAAAGTAGCCAGAAATCCCAAAAAACTATTACAAAATGAAACACATCAGTTGTCTTCATTATTGGCAGGTGATATGACAACTGTGACAAGGAAGGAGATGACTTATTATGTGCGAGTATAACTTTTTTATTTATAAATCATGTTTTAAGGATTACTGGAGTAGGCACTGATTGGGCTTACTCCTGGGCTTTTTGAATGTCATCCCTTTTATTTTTTTTATTTTTTTTTTTTTTGTTTAACTTTTTGATGCTTACCGACTTTTCTAGGATGGACGATCTTACTGAGAATTCAGTAATAGTGTCGAAGAGATTTGGATTTCGTATGAAACCGGTGAGCCTCGTAGAAAAGCTTCGACATACGAGTGCAGTTTGGAGGTTCTTCTCTTGCTTCATAGCAGTCGATAGTGATGGTCAAAACTTGTTGAATAGCAGCGGGAAAGAAGTTAGGATTGTAAGATGTTCAAGTAGTCAGTGCAGTAATGCAGAGTTCAAATATAACACAAACTCGACAAGTCAAATGATATCACATATTGAACGTATGCATCCCACATCGGATGTTACGCAGTCTTTTCGGATATTGAAGAGAAAGCGGTCGTATGAAACTGACACTGTGGATTCCGACGGTTAGCATTTGGTCCTAATTTTCTTCAAGTCGCATTGTAAATTTTTGTTAAAATTATAATTTTTTTACATGGAGGTAGAACTTTTTGCGACTTAAACAGTGTAACAGTGTTTTATGTTGCAGAGCCGGAAACTTCGGTCAAAAGGTCGACTGGACGAGCTACGTTCCAAGACATTGATGATGCTGTTCTCAAGTTCCTTGTTGACTGTCGGATTCCTCTTAGTGCAACTGAGAGGCAGTCATGCAAGGATTTATTTTATCTAGTAGCTCCAGAGTATCAGGTGAATATTATACGTATAGCCTTTTCTTGGATGGCATTGCAAAACTTAGACGTAAAGG